ATTTAGTAAGAGCTCAATAAATAATATTTTTAAGACATTGTGTTAGTTGGGAGACTGTGGCCTAGTAAATAGACCTGCATCTACGATTTTCCTGCAGCAAATATACCAAGTTCCTTCAGTAACATGTAGTGTGCTGAAAGCAGAATGATCTAACAAATTATGAACAAAATCTTTAGGCTCTGTAGCTGGCTTGTTTGCCTCAGACCTCATTTCTGGGCATGTACATGATTGGTATAAATCTACCTAAACAGTCAGAAACTCTGTAGGATCCTTTAACTCGGCTGGGAAGGAGGACCCACAGAGGAGAGGTTTGCATGTTGGGGATTTCATGGGAAAATGGTCTGTGCTGGCCAGATGCACCCCAGATTACCTCGAGTCTTCATGGGAAGCACCAGGAGCCTTGCCTTCCTCCGCCCTCTGCTGACTGCCCAGCAACCCTCCTCCCAGGGAGTACAATGTTAACTGCTTCACTTACAAGAATCAGTAAGGCCAGGCATGATGGCACATACTCATAATCCCAGCACACGGGAAGCTGACGGGAGGATCATGAGTTCGAGGCCAACTTCGGCTACATAGTGAGAATTTATCTCAAAATCAACAACAAAAAACAAAATTCTGCCCAGATTCTAAAGGATAACAGATCTTTAGGACACAGAAATAGAAACAGGAGTTGGGATTTAGGTAGGCTCTATGTTTGAATCCTGACTCCAAGATTTTTTAGTTGTGTGACCTTCAGCAGGTTGTTTAATCCCTGAGCCTGTATTTCCTTATCTGTAGAAAGAGGTAATAAGTGCCTAACACCTAGAGGTTACTGTGAGGGACAAACATACAGTGTATGTTAGATAACTGGAGGAGTGCCTGGCATATAATATATATTTAGGTGGATTTTTTTTTTTTTGTACTGGGGATCGAACTCAGGACCTTGTGCTTGCAAGGCAGGTGACGGAACCACTGAGCTAAATCCCTGGCATTTAATATATATTTAATAAGGACAGCTATTAACATAGTTTGGGGGTTGGGTGCAGTGTCACACACCTGTAATCCCAGCACTCTGTGAGGCTGAGGCAGGAGGATCAAAAGTTCAAGCCCAGCTTGGGCAGTTTAGTGACTTTGCAAGACCTGTCTCCAAAAAAAAAAAGTGGGGATGGGAGGTGGCTCAGTGCAAAGGCACTGTGTTTAATCCCCAGTAACACACACACACACACACACACACACACACACACACACACACACGCACACACCCCAATAGTTTTGATATCATCCATAAATGAATTTTTCTGTCCTTCACATCCACTTTAGATTTGGGAGAGACTCCATGTTCACAGTGAAATCTAAATTCATCTGCTACCAAAGGTTTCCTTAGTCAGATACTTGGAGAACAATAGCCTGGTTAGGTTAGGACAAGGGTGATGTTAAAAAATTAAAAGGAGGGCTGGGTGGTAGCTTAGTGGTTGAATGCTTGTTATGTACACCTAATGACTTGAGTTGGGTCACTAGCCCTATAAACAAACAGAAAGACATACCTACATGATTGTCCAGTTTGGTAAAATTATTTCTGACTTAAATTTTTTTAAGCCAGACTGGGTATGGTGGCACACACCTGTGATCCCAGCACTTGGGAGGCTGAGGCAGGAGGATTGCTGCAAGTTCAAGGCCACTCTGGGATACATAGTGAGTTCAAGGCCAGCTTGGACTACACAGTGACACTCTGTCTCAAAACAAAACAAAACATCCAAAATTTTTTTTAAAAAATTTAAAAATTTCAGGTTCCCAGGACCAGGGATTTAGCTCAGTGGTTCCTCTGCCTGCCTTGCAAGCGCAAGGTGCCAGAGTGGGATCCCTGTTACAAAAAAAAAAAAAAAAAATTTCAGGTTCCCAACAGCCTTTTTTGATAAATGCTTCTTATTACTACTATCTTCAGATTCTTTCCCAAGAGTCAATTGAATTCAACAATCATTTGAATAATTATTTCATATTAGGCTCTCTGCTAATCACTAAGGATTCTGAGATGTGTAAGACATGATTTTCTCTTTTTTGGCTGCTCGGGATTGAACCCAGGGCCTTGTACATGCTAAGCTTGCACTCTATCACTGAGCTACACCCCTGGGCTAAAGAAAACAATTTTTGCCCAAGGAACTACTTACAAAATTTCCCAGAATTATCTTCACTACCTCATTTCCCACCATACCCTTTAAGAGGCTTATCAATCTGGCTGCCGGTGAGAGGCTCTCTCGTGTCTCATGTCTTGTGTCTCCTGACAGACATTCACCTAACCTGGCCCTCCCAGATCCCAACACAACTAAACTCCATTGCTAATTCTCAGTTATTTATTCTCTACTAAATGCCTATGAATTTCATCTCCCATTCAGATTATAAATAACTCTAGGGCTTGAGTGTTCTATTAGTTCTGGTTTTTGGTTTGCTTGTTTGATTTTGTTTTTTGAGACAGGGTCTAGCTATGTAGTTCAGGCTGGCCTTGAACTCATGGCAATCCATGTGCACCACCACACTGAACTATTAGTTCATTTTCTATCCCAAAATACCAGTCATTTTGTTATTTCTCCTTTTGATTATTCATGATGATTGTGAACCTGTATGAAACGTAGAGTTTAACTTATCTCTATGTCAGTTAGGTCTCAAGCAGGTTTCTGGCAAATGCCTCTTTCCCATACCCTGTCATCTGATTCACTTAGGAAATTTCCTTTTTGTCTTTTAATTTTCTCTTCCCATAGTGTTGACATTGAACACCAGATCACTTGGGCTGGGGATTTAGCTTAGTGGTTCTGCTGCCTGCCTCGAAAGCGCAAGGTCCTGAGTTCGATTCCCAATCCAAAAAAAAAACAAAAAAAAAACCCCAAAAGAACACCAGATCACTGAATTCTCCATGGAAAATATAAGCTCTATTTTAACATTCGGTCTTGAAAGAACTTGAATCAATATCTACTTGGAAATCGGCAACTCAACAGCCCCGTGGGTGAACAGCAAAAAGGATTTTGCCCTCATATCATCCTAAAGGGGAAATGTGTTTCTCATCCTAGCTTGAGTGGGGGGAGGTAATATAGTGCCTATTAATTCTACAAGGATCCACACACTTTGAAAAAATACCCTGATGTCTCTGAAGTCACATACTGCATTAGAATCTCTTTTTCCCATAGAATACCACAGCTGTTATTTTAGTTTCTGCAATGTCACCATGGGAGCTTTGGGACTATTCTCACATTTAAGTATGGTTTGTGAAGTCATGGACAGCTCAGGAGTCACATCCACCCCACCACAATTAAACCTATACCTGAACATTCCCACTTACAGTGGTAGAAAAATATTACAGAAACAGAAACTTCATGATGATATAGAAAAATATCCTCTACCTTTAAATACCTGCACATATAGGGGAGGGGTGAGCAAGTGTGTGTGCATGTAGGCCTGCACATCTGTGTGTGAAGGGAGGAGAAGGCTTAATCCTATCAGTCGAATTGATGAAAGGTAACAGGCTCTGGGCTATTTATAGATCTTAAATTGGCATGTGCTATACATAATGAGTACTTGGCTGATCTAATTTTTCAGAGAATTTGAGGTAAAGTAAAGGAGATACCCCCCCACACACATACAAAAAGTATGAGAAAAGGTAATGAAAGGTTCAGATCATGACTACAAATTTTTTAAAAACAACATTACATTTTTATAACTGTAGATGCCTGGGAAACCTCTCATAGTCAGAAATTAGATGAAGTGGGATTCCATTTTGAAAAGGGACTGGAGATAACAGGAATCACTGAAGTCTGGGTGTGGAAGTGAAGAGGATTATCTGAATACTGTACTGATTTTATTTGACTTCAAGGGTGTTCTCCAGTATCACTGTTGTTCAGATGCCAGAACATCTAAGAGCTGTGCATGGAACACGGTAATGTCCGGAGGAACTGGTTCATGGACTATGAGGACACAGGGAGCCTTCACAGAAGAACTCCAAGAGTGACCACACAGAAACACATCTGGGCCTGACCATCCCGCACCCCTTTTGCTGGGAAGAAGGGAAAGTCCTCTACCAAAATAGCAGACAAAACTCTCACTCTCTGAAGTGGAGGAATGAGCCATTGCCTAACACTCCTCTCCAGGAAAGAGGAGGATACATTGTTGCCTGTAGTCAGAGTTGTGCCTGACCCCCTGCCCGGCTGAGTGTAGACAGGGAGGGGCCATCAGCATGGTCTGCACTGGCACTTTGAGGCCACCCAGGCTCCTCACCTTCAGAGCCATCAAGGTGAGCACACATTTACCTGTCAGCTCCTCCTCCTTGCCCATGCTAGTTACTCCTGATTCTCTCTGAGACCCTCATGGGAGATCTTCCAGAAGTGTTCAGAGTCATGTGGGTTTCACTAGGCAACTAAGGAAACTGCAGACTATTCATTACAGAAGAGGGCAATCTGTCCTCTCTTCCTTCCACAATTTTCTCATCTGTGAAACGGGAATAACAACCCTGTCAGCTCCACTTCACACAGTGAGAGCACTGCATTGGCTGGAAAAGGCTATAAAAATCCAAGGCATTATACTGTGCTTGTTGATGCTATTTTTATTACGCATCCCATAGCTTCCAATAACATCAAACAACAAAGTATCTACTAAATGTGCTTTAAAAGCCAGTCCACAGCCTGCTGAGGGCGGCTGCATAAAAGCTAGTTTAAAAATCAGATCCCCGAGTCTGGATCAGTCAGAAGCTCCAAGTGAAGAGCCAGGAGACCTAGATTTTTAACAAGCTCCCAAGCACTGCTGGGATGCACAATTCGCCAGGTCCGTGACCCCTACTTGTTCCATCTATGGCCAGAGCCGTGTGGCCTGGTTTGGAGGAACGGACGTGAGACACAGAACAATTCGCATACTTTTCAAACTTGACCAGTGGAGGTGAGTTATAAGAGACAGGAAGCAAAACTGGAGCTTTAGAGGGGTTAAAGCCGACGGCGCGCCCGCAGAGAGGGGCAGGCGGGCCGGTGGGGCAGGCACGGACTCACCTACGATGATCCCACAGGCGCTGACCAATCCGATCTCTTTCTTCAGGGCCACCCCGCCCCCTCCGGAGCCAGCCCCGGGCTCGGCCCGCGACTCGCCCCCACCTGGGTGGTTCTTCTCGGCGAGGTTTCGGTGCCTCGCTCCTTTTTCCATCCTTCTCAGTAAGATTTCAGCCTCCAAAAGCAACCTGTCTCTCTCTGAGGGCGTGCGCGTGTAACTATATGGATGCAGGGAAAGAGAGAGTTCAAATTCAAATGCCCTTTTCCGAAATGGGGACCACCCCAACCTCTAACCAGACGAGCAGATAAAAGGGAAAACGGAAAATATTCCTACTTTGTACCGACACGTCCTTGTCACCTCTGCTTACCAACAAGGATCGTGTCGTTTGAGGACATATATATTTAAGTGTAAAAATAGTGCAGTCTCGCTGGTCCAGCTGGAATTCTTCTGAACCGAGGGTGTCTAAACCAAGATGGCTTTGGTCCGTGCAAAAAAACAGCCTGGATTTCCCTGCAGCTCTCAGGGACTGCCTTTGCCTGCCCTTGATCCTTTCGTTCTGATGAGGATAAAAGTAGTTGTCGCTAACTGAGATGGGGGAAAGGGCAATCCTCAGGTACTTTCTTCTCGTCCAGAAAAACAAAGCTGCAGACCTGGCCGGTGGGCTCTCGGTCTGGTTTCCATCTGCTGAGGGTTGCTTCCCCGAACAGCTTCCGCTTCTGCAGAGGTCCTCCTTCCTCTCTTCCTCCTTGCTTGTCTTCTCGCCCTTGCCCTCGGGTCGGTCTCCCGGCTCACAGCATGGGTTGCTCCATCGCTCCCGGCTGCAGGAGAGCAGCTCCTCAGCAGGCGAATGCGCTTCCCTTTTAGCCAGGGATTTTATTTGCTGATCAGGCTCCGCCCCCAGCTCCTCCATCCCAAGTCCCCTCTCTTCCTCCTCCTCCTCCTCTGCAATTTAAATATTAGCACAGAGCCCCCGGGAGATCGCCGAGAAAACGAATTAAAACCTTTCGCTTTGCTATAATCGCTTTCTCCTTGTACCGAAGTGGAAGTAAAAAAATCCTTTCATGTCAACCTCTCCCAGAGAGCTCGTTAGTATTGCATTACAGGTCGTGCTGCACTTGTGAGCTTTATAAAGAAGGGAACAATTGTGCATTTACTTTTAATGCCATCAGAAATAAACTGGCCGCTGTTTAAAAGTATTTAGGTATAGATCATTTGAGGATACAGGAGAGAAGACTGTAGGGACATCGTCTTAAATCATTTCTTGAAAATAGGGAGACTCCACGGGGCGGGGGAGGAGGATGGAAGGAATAAATGCAGAAGAGTTTATTTAGTGACAAAGTAAGCTGGAAACAATCACTGCGAAGAAGCAGTAGCTTCACTCTTCACTGATCTTATTTAGAGTTGACTTGGAAAAAAAAAAGACAGTTCTGACCCTGGCCCACAACTTTGTATCCATATTTTCGCATCTATGTTATTTGAAAGGTAGATGGGAGAAATGTTCAGCACTTCAGTGTTCATAAAGCAGGCTTACTGGTGTTAAGAGATGATTTATGGGCTGGAGATGTTGCCTCACATGTGGGAGGCCCTGGTCTGATTCCTGTTAATCAACCACACACAGGCAAAAAGATGACTAACATTACTGTATTGATATTGTACCTCCTTGCCTCTGAAGAATCTCACTCAGAAACTTGCTTTTCGATAAGAGTAGTGGTGCCTATTTCTAATTGTAAAGTACTTTGAAAGAAAGAAAGAAAAAGACTGAAGCAATATAGCAGACAACCCCACAAGTTTAAAGTAATTTCGAGGTCAGGCTTGGTGGCACACGCCTATAATCTCAGCACTAGGGAGGTTGTGGCAGAAGGTTGGCTGTGAGTTGAGTTCGAGGCCAGCCTGGGCAACGTAGAGTTCAAGTCCAAACTATATGTTGAAATCTTGTCTCTAAAAACAAAAATGGGGGCCCAGGATTTAGCTCAGTGGTTTCGCCGCCTGCTGTGCAAGCTCAAGGACCCGTGTTCGATCCCTGGTAACAACAACAACAAAAAATAATAATTTTGAATCTTTAAAAGATTATTTACTTATTTGTATATGTTTGCAATATGTAACACTCATAT